CTGCTCAGCGGGGAGTCTGCTTCTCCCTCTGACCCTCTTCCCTCTCGTGCTCTCTCTCTCTCATTCTCTCTCTCTCAAATAAATAAAATCTTTAAAATAAATAAATAAATAAAATCAGTCATGCATACTTGGGTGACTAAAATGACCACACTGATGAGAAAGTCCAAAGACTTGCCATACAAGGATGACTGGAAGAAACTCCAATCAATAAGTTTGCAAAAATCGTCTAATTTCTTAAAAATAAGATGGGGCCGTTAAAGGAGGGACTTGATTCTTTTCATTGGAACCCTTGGCTTTCCAAGAGAGATCGGAAAGAAGAAACCCAAAGCAATCAAAATGGAAATTGCAAATAGAAATGTTATCTTCCAAAGAAGGGAGGGGCTAAACCTCAGACTGGGGAATCCCATCGAAGAACTGATCTCAGTTTTTTGCGGGCTGTGGACAACAGTTACTGAGGGAAATGGAAGGGAACACCCCATGTTGATCTAGACTTTGGAAATTGCATTTGGTAGGGTAGGACACAAAACGGTGCTTGGCCAGGAAGAAGTCGTGGTTGTGAAACCACTTGGTGAACTCTGTCTACCAGCTGTGGGGTGCAGAGCTGGTAAAGCAGTGGCAGCCAAGCCTGGGAGCATCACCCCAGAATCACCCGGTCCTGTATAACCACTTGCCCCACACAACCGGTCAAGTGTCCCCTGCCATGATGATTCTTCTAGAGCTCTAGTCACTGCAGCTGCTTATGTGACAGTATTGTTAGCTCTAACTCCAGCCTCCGGTTCCAGCTCGAGAGCCCCTCGCTGTAGGCACAGGGGGTGGTCTGGGGGCCTCACCTACATGGCAACGCCATGAGAACAGAGCCTGGTCTGTTCCACTGCAAAATCCTAGACTGAGAACAGAGCCTGCACCTAGTGAGCCGGCATTGAGAACTGCCTGCCTGCCAGGGGCCTTTATTCTAGTGCTTAGTCATTCTTCTGAATTCTTGGTGGTTTTCCCTCCTTTGATATTTTTATTTGTAAGAGAAAGGGGGTGTGGGGGAATTTTCTAGTCCTTCACTCTAGCAAACCACTGGGCTGGAGTCAGCTGTGCTCTGCTTGGGACTGCAAACCCCTACCTCCCCACCCAGAAACCCAACAGGCCCCTATGAAGGTCTAGTCTTAGGAGCATGGTTCTCAGCTGGGGTACAGAGCAGAATTAGCCGTTGGCTTCTTAAGACTCCAGGTGTCTGTGCCCACCTCAAGCCAGCTGACTCCGAGTATGCAAGCGTGGGATTCAGGTACGTGTGGTTTTAATAAGCTCTGGTTACGAAACATCACTTGAGGGCAGTGGTTTTCAAGCACCTGGCCCAGTAGCAGCAGCAGCAGCAGCAGCAGCATCACCTGGGAGCCTATTAGAAATGCAAACTCAGCCTCCTCTACAGACCTCCCGAATCAGACACTTGGAGGGTGAGGCCTGGGCAGCAGTCTATGGGTTAGCAAGTCCTCCAGGTGATTCTGAGGCTTACTCCAGTTCTCCAGTTGAAGAAACTCTGCTTTAGATCATCTCTTTGGGTCTGAGTGCACAACAAAGTTTTTGTTTTTGTTTTTTGTTTGCTTGTTTGTTTGTTTCCTAAGCAGCTAGGAGAAAGTGTCTAAATGAATGTCATTCGGTTATTTCCTAGCTTGTAGCCCTGACCTGACAGTTCCTCTGCTGACACATCAATTCAGCAAACCTATTCACAGGTCTCTTTGTCTTGCTCTCTCTCTCTTTTTTTTTTTTAAGATTTTATTTATTTAAGAGAGAGAGCGAGAGAGACCTCGAGCAGGGGAGAGAGGCAGAAGCGGGGCTCGATCCCAGGATGCTGAGATCATGACCTGAGCTGAAGGTAGATGCTTAACCACCTGAGCCACCCAGGCGCCCCAGTCTTTGTCTCTTAACTTCCCTAGAGCATTTGCCCTTTCCTCCGCCAGTCAGGCGCCACTGGGCAGCCTGCAGGGCCCATCTTAAATTTTATTCCCTCCTGAAATCTTTTATTTTGTCTTTTCCCATAGAAAATAAGTGCCTGTCACATTTATTTTGGTCTTTCTTATGGCTCATGTATTCTCTTTACCTCCCGTCCCGGGCAACCTTGGGCAAGTAACTTAACCTCTCTGTTTCCTCATCTGTAAAATGGAAATAATACTAGCACCTACTGGGCGCCTGGGTGGCTCAGTTGGTTAAGGAACTGCCTTCGGCTCAGGTCCTGATCCTGGAGTCCCGGGATCGAGTCCCGCATCGGGCTCCTTGCTCAGCAGGGAGTCTGCTTCTCCCTCTGACCCTCTTCCCTCTCATGCATTCTCTCATGCTCTCTCTCTCAAATAAATAAATAAAATCTTTATAAAAAAAATACTAGCACCTACTTCTTCAAATGAGTTAATACTTGTTGAGGTGCTTAGAATAGTACTCAAGTGTCAATTCTAAAAGTAATTATTCCTAGCATTGAATAATGGGTATATAACATTCGGTAGTGCATGGCACATAAATCTAGCTTTTTCTCACTAACAATTTTAGGGCACTAAGCATTTTGTACTTTTTGTAGCTGTCTTTATGCTCGCAAAAAGCTTAGTTGTAAAGCTTTTTGATAGCAAGTAATTTTTCTTTCTCAACTCTGAATCTCCCTCTCCCAAGGTACCTAATATATGCTCAGTGAATGCTTATGACATTGCACTGAACTCCACAGGCAGTGTAGGCTAAGAAGTCCCAAAGGAGCCTTTCCTAAGCCTGTCCCCCATCTTTCCTGTCTTTGGGCCAGTGCCTTCAGTCCCTGGGTTCTTGATGATGTCATCCTTCCTCAAGGCCCTAGAGGAAGAAAATGGGTCTGCGTGCCTGGCTCTTGAGTCCAGTGAACAATGCACTCTGCCTGGAATATCTCTCGTTCAGATAACAGGTTCCTCTGAAAATTATCCAGAATGGCCTAGACAGTTCTTCCTGTTTTTAATTACGTTTTAAAGAGCAGAATCTGAGCCATGTTTCTGACTCCTTGCCAAACAAATGAAATTTTTAAGACAGTGTTGTCCTGAGGCAGCAGTAGGTGGGAAGGGTAGGGACGTGGTACCTGGAGACCACATGGTGTGGTGGTGTCATTACTGAATTGTACTGGGATAGGTTTTTAGGCATTGAAAATAGAGATGGTGACACAGAGGTTGAAGATCCCAACTACCTGGGGCTTTCTTGCCGCTTTATAAAGATGGCTGCCCTCCTACTTGAACTTGGACTTCCGCAGACTCTGAGTTAAGAGCAGAAGTGTGTCTGCAACCACAGTTGGCAGATGGTGGATGGTGTCCTCCAGGGGGCCCAGTCATACTGGAGCTTGAGCCCCCACCTTGCCTCTTGGGGCAAACTTCTTTTTGTAACAATTTGATGTGTAACATGAACACTCTATGTTTTTAATTCCTGAATTATTGCAAGCCTATCAGATTTTGCAATTTCAAGTAAGTGTTTTTTTATTACCATAATCTTTTATGTTTCTATATGTTTATGATAGTTTTCTAGAAGTCAGTAGTGTTCACCAAGCTAAGAGATATCTAAATTTCAGCCAGGCCTCTGATGAAGTCTATCCCGATGTTCTTGTAGATGGAATTCCGTGCACAGGATGGTCAAGTTAGGAGGATTTATAACTGGTAATGAATTGGTGAGAGTTTGGAGTAGGCGGGGGACGGGGCAGGGAGCTGCTTCTAACACTCACCGATGCCCTCTGCCTTCCACACTGGCCCAGTCCACAGTTTCAGTAAGTATTTGATTGCAGGCTTTTATGGCATCCTTGTCACGTTGAGGTTTATACAACTATTGGATGATGAATGTGTTGTATGGAGCATCGGGGTTCTGGGAGGTACCGAAGACTCCTCCCACAGTTAGTCACCCAGTGCTGCCCATTTTACTCCCTCACTGGCTTCTCAAATACATCTTCTCCTCCCTATCCCTTCCTTCCCTCATCATTTCTCTCCTAGACTACTGCCTGACCCTGTTGCTTGAAGTAACCCCCCAGTGGCATTCCCTTGCCTCCAGAAGAATGTCCAGGCTCCTTCGCATGACCTAGGAGGTTCTGAATGTCTTGGCCATGATACTTCTCTAGCCTTATCTCTTGCTGTTCCCCACCTTGAACTCCATGCTGTAGTGATATCAGACTGCCTGTCGTTCCCCACATGGTCCATTCTGGTTCACGCCTTTGGACCTTTGCTCTGCCTTCAGTGGCTCCAATACATTCTCCCCTCCCTTCCCCTTGAAGACTCAGATTATCATTTACACCACTGTATTGGAATTACCTGGTCATTCATTTCTCGCTCTCAAACTAGACTAGAAACTCCTTAAGGTGTTCTTATTTTATTTAGCACCCAGCACATAGTAAGCAGGCAATGAGTGTTTTTTTGATCAGAAGTGAGAATACAAAAAGATCTTGGCAATCTAAAAGGGAGACCATAAAACTTAACGGGGAGATAAAATTTAACAGTGGTTCTACTTGGGTTTAAAACAAACAAACAAAGAAAACAAGTCCCGATTAAGGACTGAGTACAAGGTGGGAGAAAGATGATTCACCACGCTCAGTAGACCATGTAAAAAAAGAGAGGCTGTGGTTTCAGTTGACTTTAAGCTCCATGAGTCAACAGTGTGATGCAACTCCAGTAACCTAGTGTCAGAACAGGGAAAGTCATCGTCCTGTGGTCATACCACACGGGAGAGTCATGTTCCATTCTGCAGCACCGGACCTTAAGAGGGGTGAAGCATGTCCAAAGGAGGGCAGCTAGACTATTAAGAGAAGACGAACCCCACCATATGGGGAGTAGTTGAAGGAAGTAGGGGTGTTTCATCTGGAGAAGATGGGGGCTATCATGCCCGAAGGGTTCACTGAGAACCTCAAAAATGCAGAATTAGGCCAGTAAGTAGAAAGCCTCAAAAGAACTTGGTGATACTTAGATCTCCTAACAATGGAATAGGAGGTCTGTCTTGTGAGCTCCGAGTCACTGTAGGGGTGGATCAGGAGCCTCCGAAGAAAGGTGCTATAGGGGGATCTGAGCCACTAAAGGAAGTTTGGACTAGATGTCCTGCTCAACTCTAAGGCTTAGTGAGTCGGGAGGTCCCTGAGTTCATACCTATTAAGTGTTGGGGAGGGGTGCCAGGAGCACATTTTCTGATAGCAATGCCTTTTGTCCCTCTAGGGGAAACGTTATGAATTACCTAAACAGAAATTGCCTCTGGGCAAATGTAGTAAGTGACTAACCACTTAGGTTCAGACTTCTGGTTCATGCCTTCAGACTTCTGAACCTAAGTGGGCTAGTCACTTATCACATCATTCGTGTGAAATCTATTCAAGAAAGGCATATGGTAGTCCCACCCCATGTACCCAGCGCCTTGCATTCTCCACTGAACTTTTGTGGAACTTTGAATAAAGTGATTACCTCTTTCCCTTCACTTTTTTGCTTTTTTAGCTGCGGAGCATCTTAGCTTCTGGGAGGATGTCAGAAGGATCATCTCAGGATCAGAGCTGATAACGGGATTCCCCTATACCTTCACAGTGCCAGGCCTGCCCCAGTACCTCCAGAGCCTCACCAAACTAGCCATCGCCACAGCATGGGCTGTGGCGGCCCAAGCTGGAGAGCAGGCAGGGACCATTCCCATCTTCTTCTCTCAGCTGTTGGAGTCTTCTTTCCCTGAAGTGCGCCTGCTGACGTTAGATGCCCTGCTGGAAAGGTTCTCGACAGCAGCCTCTGGATTAGGAGAGAAGGGACTGCCACCCTTGCTGTGGAATATGGGAGGGACATTCTTGATGTTGGCTATGAAGGAAAATCACCCAGAATGCTTCTGCAAGGTAAAGTCTCTGGTGTACTGACCGTTTTCCCGTCTGCGCCCGTTGCTTTTTGGCAAGCTCGCTGTAACAAGATCACGTAGGCAGGACTGGGTTGGGCTTCCCCAGGAGCAATAGGAAGGAGATGCCGCATCCAGTGGGCAAGGACTCTCTTTGTATAGTGCTTGTCATGGCTTCGTGCATGGAAGGGCGCTAAAAAAAGTGATGACAATGGTAATGATGATGGCAATAAGCCAAGATAGAGGTTGGGAGTAAGCCATCAGCGCTCTAAGAAATGCAGCCCTGAAAATTGGCTGTAGAATGTGGTAGAGGGTCGTCTTTGTCAACATGGCTGTTTGGGGACAGATGGCCACCTAGAAAGCATCATCAAAAGGAAAGGGCACTAGCCTAGGAATCGGGGCATCTAGACTCTGATCCCAGGTCACTAAGGTCCCCTGGGTGTGTCACTGCTCCACCCTGTCTTGGTCTCCCAAAAATATTAAGGGGGAAATAAGAAGTCAGTGATGCTTTTTGAAAGCTAGACCCCTTTATTGGTACAAGTGATGATTATTTGGCTTCTGGAGACTTTTTCCTGAGTATTTTTTTTTCCCATGGATCTGATACACACAGATACTGAAGATTCTCCATTGCATGGACCCCAACGAGTGGCTTCCCCAGACGGAGCACTGTATTCACCTTACCCCAAAGGAGTTCCTGATCTGGACAATGGATATTGCTTCCAATGAAAGGTTTGCCCCCAGTGCTCCCCGTGCAACCGCAGCATGATGTGGGGTCTGTCCCAGCAGTCAGTCACGTAGTGAATCCGGGCACGGTCCTCGCTGAAGGGCTTAGGTCCTGTGTTTCCTTCTAAATCTCAGCCTAGGAGTATGTTCTAAGCTCAAGCCATAGAGTGATGTCAGAGTTTTCACATTAATAACCAAAAGGTAATCACTTCTGATGGCATTTGTATGGCCCTGAGGTGAGCATGTCCACCATTCACAATGGCATGAATTACAGACTATTGACAAAAACCCATCTGTATACAAAGTACATTTGGTTTTATTTCTGTGTTTTTGGCTGACTTTTTCTAGGTCTGAAATTCAAAGTGTAGCTCTGAGACTTGCCTCCAGAGTGATCGCCCACCACCTGCAGACGTGTGAGGAGGTAAGGCTGACTGGGCCTGTGGCCTAGAGTCTGGGTCTTCGTGCTCTTATTTACCAGGAAGGCGTTGGTGAAAGTGAACTGTCTCAGCAAAGCAGAATCACTGGGGCATGTATGTGTCGCCTCTACAAAAATGTTATTCATGTGGATGTTTCACTTTGGGTATAACTTCTGTAGAATTTTCTGAGCACCACCATCAGCATTTCTTTTCTTTTGTCCTGGGCATGCTTGATTTGAGTCCATAAGGGTAACACAACCTCCTCTCATACAACACAAACACACACACTCACACCCAAACCCTTTGTGTTTTTGTCCTAGTTTTCTAGCTAGACTCTTTTTTCAAGGAGCGAGTGAGCAAGTCACTGGGATTGCACCCTGGCCAACTAAGTATGAAAATACATCCCTAAGGCTTAACTATTCCCCCAGAATATGGCCCAGCTGGCTTTGTATGGAGGCCTGGATGTGCCCCCTCTGTCTCACATGTCCTTTGGGGGAAAGATGGAACCAAAGTAACCAAAACAGCTTCCTGGGAAGGTGCCTTAAGACAAATACATGTATACTTAGGGGCATAAGAAAGGTGTCCCTATCAGAGTATTATTATAAGTAGAAGGCAGTCGATACTACAGTAATATTACCTGAAGCTCCTGGTTACACATGACCACACTGTGATGGTGGCAGCTAACATCACGGGTTCCAGTTCCTTACGGTAAAGCAGCACAGCCAGAGGTGCGGGAGATCGGGAGATGAACAAGGATGGAGGGACAGTGTCATAAGCAAGGAGGAGCATTAGATCATGACATTAAATGCCCTGCTAGGGAGGAGGCCGGAGGAATCCAGAGGAGGAAGGGAGTGCGGGGCTGCTAAGGAGAAGACTTCACAGAGGAGGTGGTTCTGTTCAGAGAGCGGTGGCTGGGCAGAGGGGACAGAGGGTGAGAGCTAAGCAGATCCACTGTTGCTGTGGGGCATTCAGAGGCAGGCCAGGGGGCCAAAGCTGGCTGGTCACCAGGAGAGACAAAGAGCCAAAAAAAAAGTCAGTAGTGTGTGTTGGGGGTTTGAAGGGGAGAGGTTTGTAGGAAGGGAGAGGATTTGCTGAAAAAAAACTATAGCCCAGAGGGAAAAAAACAAGTTCTAAGAAAGCAGTCACAGGGCAGCCTGTCCCATCTGCCAAAAGACCTCGTTCTCATCCACAGACATTTTTAACAAGTATTCATGTGCCTCTTAGAGGCACTGCTTGGTACTTGAATGAAGCAGTATTTGGTAAAAATTGGGAGTTTTCCAGGGAGAGAAAAATTAATAAAACCGTAGACAAATGCATAAAAGAAGTTCCCAGGAAGACCTGGGTTTCTTTGTACATTGGGAGTCGGCCTCTTCCTCAAGGTCTAAGATGCTCATCAGTTTAGTTCCACAGAGGCCCACCGATGGTAATTTTGAACAATTAAAGAGGCTTCTTTGATACGGGAAGTAAAGCACATTTGGAACAATAATCCCCTTTCTAGAATACGTAGAAAACCAGGGTTTAAAAGACGGAAACAATCCAGATGTCCATCAACTGATGAATGGGTAAACAAAATGTGGTATGTCCACTCAAAACAATATTATTCAGTCACAAAAAATAATGAAGTGCTGATACATCTATAACGTGGATGAACCTTAAAAATATGCTAAATGAAAGAAGGCTGTCACAAAAGACCACGTATTCTATGGTTCAGTTTATATGGAATGTCCAGAATAGACAAATCCATAGGGACAGGAAGTAGATTAGTTGTTTAGGGCTGGGAGCTGACAGGATGACAGGGTGGGGGAGGTTAACTAGGGATTTCTCTTTTTGGTGATGAAAATGTTCTAAAATTGACTGTGGTAATGGTTGTACAAACCTGTGAATATACTAAGAACTCAACTATATACTTTAAATGGGTGAATTGTATGGTATGTGAATTGTATCTCAATAAAAAAAAAGCTGTTACTATAGAAAAATAGAGCTTTGTTTAAACAATAATGTTAGTTAGGATGCTGCTTTAAATGTTATAGCAGAAACTCATAAATACAGTGGCTTAAACCAGATCACAGCAGTCAAAGCAGATATGGTGGCATGACAGTATTGGGTCCCCAGACCCTTGTAGCTTGTTCTGCTGTTTTCAACATGGCTTCCATCTTATGGTCCCAAATGGTTGCTCCAGCTTCCACCATCTTGTTCTTGTTCAGCTAGCAGGAAAAAGAAACCTGGGAAGTAAAGGTCACATCTGTTTCCTAAGGCATGACCTAAAAATAATACACCATTAGTCAGAACTTAATCATATATTACTCCCAAGTGAAAGGGGGTCTGGGAAATGTAGTCTTTATGCCCAGCCCAAAATTTGAGGTTCTGTTACTAAAGATAGAAGGAGTATCTGGCTATGCGAGACAACAGTATTATTTGCTACCATAGTCTTTCCCCAGAAGGCTTGTCTTTACTGAAGCTGTCAAATACGCCAATGTTCTGATACCTTGATTTGCATCAGAAAGACTCCAGGAACTTTCTTGCTAGTTCTAGTGACTCAGTATTACTGAAAGACAAGTCACATTTTCTTCCCTGGCCTTGTTTATTTCTCCCTAGTTGGGTTGGAAAAACAACTAGAAAACTTTTCTTCCCCTGCGGTAAGAGCTAATTTGCACATCCAGTGTGGTGTATGTGGCTCAGACCTAATTCCATGTCAGCCCCTAACTGCCCCTGCGGACCTGCCATACGCTTTGTGCTTTCAGACCAGGGACTCGGTGGCCCCCACACTGAAGTCGTGGGTTCAGTTGGTCGCCTTCTCCTGTGGAGAACACCTTCCCACAGAGTCCAGGCTCGCTGCTGCTGAAGCTCTCACCCGCACCACACCGTTCTTGCTCACCAGCCTCCATCCCGTTCTTGGTAAGTGCACCAGGCCGGGGGGTGGGGGATCTGAGGTCCGAGGTCCATTGTACCAAAGAGCTAAAAGCACGAATAGGTACTCCAGGATAAAAAAGGAGGGAAGATGAAAACCGACCGTGTGCACTGTACCTTTGCATCTCTCAAATGTGTTCCCCCCACCCTCCGAATTCCCCATGTTTCACCAACAGCCTCTTAACTGGCCTCCTTTCTTTCCATCTTACCCCCAAAGCCATTCTCCTTATACTTCCAAAAGCTCGTGCGGTCTTTCTGAAATACAGAACTGATCATTTCACTCCACTACTTAAAGCCTTTGAGTGGGTTCCGATTGCCTTCAGGATAAAATCTAAACACCCTTTCCCGTGGCTCTGTGCCCTGGCCAGCCCTCCCTGCTCGTTGGCCACCACTCCCCAGCCCAGGCTCTGTGCATCACCGGTAGGGAACTCATGTCTTGGTATGACTAGTGCACTGGTGTCTCTGGTACGAGGTTCTCTGCGGGCAGACAAGGGAGAGGGTAGTCGAAGGAGAGTTCTTGGGACAGGGCAGGTCCCCCATTGAAAGGCTAGGGGTGATGAGTGGTGGTCTCCTGTGGGTCTCCTATTGTGACCCTGCCCAAGCCTGGGCCTACCCCCTAGACAACACACTTCCTTTCTGTGAGGCCCTGCCCACCTGTCGCCTCCCTCGTGAAGTCTGCCTCTGGCACACCGGTCCACCGTGATCTTTCCCTGCTGTGAGGCACAGCCAGCCATTTCCATCCCTGACTTCTCCTTGCCTTGTGTCCTTGACTTGATGTTCCTTCTGTTGCTCAGGGGCATGTACTGTCTTTTCCTGTCCCGTTGTCCCCAGCAGCGCCTAGCACAGGGACCACACAGAGCTCCTGCCCAGGGGCAATGGTGGTCAGAGAGTGGGCCCCACATGGATCTGGCACAGGCTATCCTCTGTGGTTCCCTCCCCTTTTCAGTGCTTACCCCCCCCCCAAAGTATAATCTTGATTGAAACTTTGCTTTCAGAATTTATAAGCTCAGGCAGTCACTCAAATCAACACTGGGCTTGTTTCCCCCAAAGCATTCTTAATGCATAAAGTTTCATTCCTAAGAATCGTGAATCATTGTGGACAGCTGGGCCCAGGGCCTTAGTCAGCCGGGACACACCTTCCAGGGGGCCTTGCCTAGGGCTGCTTGCCTCCAGAAGCCTTCCCCCGCAAAAAGACAGATATTTCCAAACCTGCCCCCAAAGGCCCTCTCTCTTCCACTGTTAATCTGACTGCCAAGTCTTCCTTTCTTGAAATACCCAGGAAGAAAGGCATGACTGTTGCTCATTTAAAGACTACTCTCTTCCACCATGGATTTATTTATTTATTTTTAAAGATTTTATTTATTTATTTGAGAAAGAACATGGGCAGGGGGGAGGGTCAGATGGAGAGGGAGAAGCAGACGCCCCACTGAGCAGGGAGCCCGATGCAGGACTCAGTCCCAGGACCCTGAGATCATGACCTGAGCCAAAGGCAAATGCTTAACCAGCTGAGCCACTGAGGCACGCCCCACCACCACCACCATGGATTTAAAGCAGTATTTGTACCTGCTTGTAAATTCAACCGTAGGTAATTTGAATTCCTTTTGGTCTTCTTAGGATTGCAGGATACACTTGCTCTCTGGAGATGTGTCCTCACCCTCCTGCAGAGTGAGGAGCAAGCCGTCCGAGATGCAGCCACGGGAACTGTAGTGACTGCCATGTCACAAGGAAATACCTACCAATCAACAGGTACCTCATTCTTACCCCTCAGCAGTGCCTTATTGTTCTCGGACAGAGTTGGCACACTTTTTCTGTAAACAGCCAGAGAGTGATTATTTTAACCGTTCTTGGCTATTCGGTTTCTGTCTCCACTCTGCTGTGTTAGTGGGAAAGCAGCCCTAAACAGTAGGTAAACATGTGGGCATGACTGTGTTCCAATAAAGCTTTATGTACAAAAACAGGCAGCTGCCCAGATTTGATCTGCTAGCCATAGTTTGCTGACCCCTGATATCTAGGACATCATAGAGAAAAATCATCTTCAAAGATAGAAATCTAATCAACAGTGTTGTTAGCTAGTTACGTTGTCATCCTTTTTAAAATAAGGCTAAGTCATGATTATCTGTGTGGTTACATAACCCGGGAATCATAGATCTATCATTTTGTACTTCTGTTAGTTTTCACATGTGACAGAAACAGATGAGTGTGAGTCAGGTTAGCTAGGAGTAGAAGCAGGGTCACACCTCTGGAGAGGTGGCCAGCTGGGAGGATGTCTGCTCTGGTGGACTTGCCTTCCCTGCACTCGGGTTGTCAGGAAGAATCTCTGGGTCTGCCATCCCAAGGAGAAGCAAGAACAGCATTTGGAGGCAAGAGGTCACAGGCTGAGCAGAATGGACAGCAGAATGGGAGCGGGAGTGGCCACACAGGGTTTGTAACTGAGTCAGGGCTCCTTGTCCCAGTGGCTGGGGATCCTGGAGGCTTCCCTTGGAATATGAACGTCCGCATTCGAGAGTCCTCTGTTGTCATGGCATATGTGGGAGAAGCTGGTTTTTGAATAATCTCTTGGTGATGCTGCTCCAGAGCAGGTTTGGTCGGGACCTGCTTTGCCTCTTAGTGGGAAGACATGCAGTTCGATTCTGGGAGTGATGTGCAAGAAGCCCTCTCCCCACCCGCTTCCTGGCCTGTCCGAGTTCCTGGATCTGTAATTCCGCCGTTAGTGATTCATTCCTTTTTCTGATTACGTGTTTCCCTTAGAAGGACACACAGAGCACCCAGCAAGTGCTCAGTAAATATTTGGTGGAATACAATACTCACAAGATTTCTCTAGTACCCTCTCCACCAAAAATGGGAAAGGTTATGGCATACTGGAATTATCAGTGGACTTACCCCTCCTGATCTTGATAGTTCTTACCCGACTACTTCTATTTCTTTCAGAATTTCTCCAAGTTCACCTATAGTAAAAGTGTATTGCCATGATCTTCCTCCTTCTAGTTTAAATTTTTTCCTCAAGAAATACAAACCAATAATTAAATATTGAGTGCCTTTCTCATGTAAAAATCCATGTGTAAAAGCCTCTTAGGGAAATAAATGTAAAAGGCTACCTATTTTTGTATTCCTCACCTTGGCCTATAAAAAGAGGATCTAAGGTGTGAAAAAGACAAGGATTCTGTAACAATGAAATGTAGTGTGTTACCCTGGACTAGATCCTGTGCTAGAGGGATGAAAAGCCGTACAGGAAATTTCTAGAACAACTGACAATATTGAAATATTGTCTGTAGATTAATCAATTTTAAATTTCCTGAATTTGATAACTGTACTGTGGTTTTGTAAGAGACTATTTTGTTCTTAGGAAACACACAACTGAAATATTAAGGGGTCAAAGAGGCACACCACCTGTTACATACCCTCAGATGGTTCCGGAAAAATAATTATGTGTGCGTGTAAATAGTAAACACAGATATGGAGTTACTATACTTGCATCTTTTCTGTATATATGAAATTATTTCAGAATAAAATGTTTTAAAAATCCAGTTCCACAACTTGAAAACACCAACACAGCCTATATTGCTAGACAATCTGACTGGTTTCCCAACAATTCAGCCCCCTCTGTGACTCCTTTCCCCTAAGTTATTTGAAAATATCCTGCCAACCCCCCTTTTTTTTTAACTCATTTTGAGTGAATTTTTACATCCCAAAAAAATCAAACCCAAGCCAGATTCCTCAAAGGTCACAGCAATGTAATGTCACTATGTGGGGACAGTCGCTCAGGACTTCCTCATGTGTTCCTTGTTCAGCCTGGTGGCAATGCTTAGACAGAACTCCATAATACAGCTTGATTTTCTCAAGCAAAAAATATACATCTTCCTGTCTGGGATTGAAAAGTAGCTGAAGGCTGAGGAACACTCCTGATTTTTTGCTTTAGTCAGAAGTTCAGCCAGCTGACACACAAGAACAATATTGTCTTGTTTTGACATTTCTTGAGGATATCAAGTGGCTCATGGTAACTTTTCTCATTCCTTCAGCATGCAGGGATTTTGTAGACTATAATACTAATGGTTTGCTCTGCGGTGTTCAGAGTTAATTATCACTTTTGAGTCTTGAATAGCTTGAAAATACATGTCCTTAATTTTGTCCCCAAATCAATGGTCTAATGAACGCCATAGTAAAATATTATTATTAAATCATGGTAATATTTAATGTCTTCTTTGAGAAGGCTAAATATTGTTAAAAAACATTCTCACTTTTCCTCCTAAGAATAAAACACAAGGACTCCCTGCCTCTGAGACCCCATCCTATCAGTGAGGGCTGGATGTGGACAGAGAGCTTTGCATGTACATTGTCTGATAGTGTGCTGGGGGCACAGGGACGTGCAAGGTGCATCTTGATTGTGTGGTCTAGGTGGATAATCTGACCGCTCCCCCCCCCCCACCGAGAGTGGGGCTGGCCCAAAAGACTGGGTAAATGGGACACAGACGGGAGCATTTCAACGCAGAAGAAGAAGCTAGAGCCAGAACTTGGCGCTGGGGAGAACTTGGGAGCTGACTGGGGGGCACAGTGGCCAGAACACAGGCTGAGGCCAGGGGAGTGGGGTAGGAGATAAAGCCGGAAAGGCAGGGGCACGCACTCTTGGGGTGACTCTGAACACCAAGTTAAGGACCTCCTTCTGTAGGTGATGGGGGGCTGGAGAGGGCATTCGGTGGGGGAACAGTGTTGCCAGCGTCTTGTCTGGGGAGCTCTTTCCAGCAGCAGTATGTGTGACGGCCTGGAGGGAGACCTCCGGCCGGGAGACAAGCCAGGAGCAGGTCGCGAGCCGCTGTCGGTGGGGACGGGGTGGGAGAGCATGGCAGATGGACTGCTGGTGCTGGTGGGAGATGGGAGACAAGGGAAAGCAGAGGGGCCTTCACAGCCTCAAACCCATGAGGTATCTCTGAAGAAATGCCTAGATGTGCCTCTGGCACCGATGTAAGCAGTTAAGCCATCACCTTCTAGGAAGTGAAACAACCAGGGATCAGGAAGGGTGCTTAGAGGCCACAAGGCACTGTGATCTGGGACAGAGGATTCCTTAGACCTTGGGGAAATAGGTGCTGGAAACTGAGAGGGCAAAAGGGGGCCTTTATCTGCTGTGGGAACAGAATGAACTGCCCTGCCCAGCACACTGCCCAGTTCTCCTGGGAGCCCTGGCACAGGTACTCGAAACTACAGAAGAGCCAAGCATTAAACCCGTCATTCAGACTGCATCCCTAGCATGTCCCCTTGCGCACAGCTGGCTTCAGGTATAGATTTGTGGTGTCCGTTGGTTAATGATTCTGGGAGGCCTGGAGAAACTAACCCCTTGCTTAGATAGCCCTCATGTGAGAGTGGATTTATTGTTCACCTTTTTTGCCTGCTGACCTTGTGCATGTGCTTCTTCCCACCTGGTCACCTGGAAGGTGAAACCCACAGCCCTTCAACACTGCCGTGAGCACCCCCAAGGCTCCCTCAGCTTTGCAAGCACGACCCGCCCCACCTCCCTACTCCTAGATCAGCCATAGAGTACCGAGAGGGACAGCAGAAATGGCATTTCTGGACTCAGGAATAGAGGATTGAAATTTGCAGCTAGGACAAGAAAGGGTACAGGCAGGGCTCCAGGTGAGGCTCCACCTTCTCCTTTCCCTGCTCTAACCTTACTTCCAGCCTTGAAATGCTCTGGAAAGAGCTGTCATTTCCAGAGCAGTAGACACTCAAAGCCATCAGCTCGGCGACTCCTGCTTCCCTGGGCTCCTGATTCTCGCCCGAGCAGCTCACTCATGTCTGTTCCGTTCACATCAGGATTTCATGTTGGGTTCCACTCGAACAAGGACTTCCACTGGGCATGGGGGCGAGGGGAGGGGGTGGTACCAACCTGGACAGTCTGTACATTTAACTCACTAAATTTGTGTGATTCTCAAGTTAGGCAGACAGAGTTCTGGGTAAAAGCAGCAGGGGAGAAATTGGAGGGGCTCCAGACCCCACACCCATTGTCAGTGTTTAGGTTCAAGAAGGATGACTTCTTGGTAGCAACTTCTCGTGTAAAAAGTATAAAGGACTTTTTTTTTTTTAAGATTTTATTTATTTATTTGACAGAGAGACAGCAAGAGAGGGAACACAAGAAGGGGAGGGGGAGAGGGAGAAGCAGGCTTCCTGCTGAGGGCTTCCCGCTGAGCAGAGAGCCCGATGTGGGGCTCGATCCCAGGACCCTGGGATCATGACCTGAGCCAAAGGCAGACGCTTAACGACTGAACCACCCAGGCGCCCCAAAAAGTATAAAGGACTTTTAAGAAAGAGAGACAGACAGGCGCATACACACACACACATGCACGCATGCACACAGGGGAAGAGAAGCACCAGGCCTCCTACCCACAAAAAATCATGTAAAGCTTCTGCCCATCTTGTCAGATAGAAATCTTTTGTGGTGACACGTTCAATCCCACCTCCACCACCCCAGCTTCCCAGGATCTCCCCTTCTCTGAACCCCTGCCGTATTTGCCTCACCCCACCTCGCCCTTCATGGTCTACTCTCTTCATGTAGCTTTGTCTTCCAGCTAGCCCAAGAGCTAGACCCTCTCCCATTAGGTATACTGTGGATGCTCAGTCTGTGTTGATGGACTGCTCTTTGACCAGGGTAGGCTGCCTAACCGTCAGTAACTGTCTGGTCTGCCCCAAGTTCCTAAGGAGATTAGAGTGCCCTCTGAACCAAGGAAGTGCCCCAGAACAGGCAGCCTGGCCCTCCGTGC